GTGGATCTCACATGTCCCTGATTAGATTTCATCTGCAATGGCCCCAACTCTGTCATCTGGGCCACTGCTTCATGGGAAGGTCAGGTGGGCGGGGCCTGTTGGGTGCTGGGGTCCCAAAGAAATGACAAAGCAGTCACTAGATCCACTGACAATTTAGCTCTTGAGCACTCTCCTCCTGTCCCCCACTGTGAGCCCTGCGCTGATGAATATGTGGAAGTGGGAGATAAATAGAAACCAAAACCCTCCCTTTATTTCTGAAACAGCCGCATTGGGAAAGGTGGCTTGGTGCTGAGACCAAACGGGGCTCCCTGCTGCTTCTCTGATCGGTTCTACAATCTGTCCCTTCTCTCCATTCCCAGAGCCTTGTATGGCCTGGCCTTCGAGGAGGAGGTTAAGGTCCTTGTATGGCTTTCCCTTGGGGGAGGGTCTAGACTTGGAAAGGATGGAGGAGGCCTGTGCACGTGTGCATGCAGTTGTCACAGGTGGGGTTCCCTGGGAGGCAGGGCCCACGTCACTTCCAGTGGCTGGGTAGAGAGGCCTTTTCGAGTGAGCTCCATGCCAGCTGTTTGCTGAGGCCAGTCTCAGAGCACATGGTAAGACAGACCTGGAAGAGGGTCTTTAGCATGTTCATCTCACCTGGATCAGGGCCTCTCTGAAGGGGAGGGGACAGTGAATGGAGGGGCGAGGACTTGGGAGAGTCAGGTAGTGTCGCCCCAGTCCTGTTCCTCCCCCCAGGGCTCCACCTACCATTATGACCCTATATCACCACTCATTTGTTTAAAGGTTGACTGAGGGGCTAGCTGAGCACTGCTTTAGTCAGGGGTAGCTGGCAGAAGGGCAGGACGCCCAGCACCCCACAGCTGGTGTTTAAGAAGAGCCAGCAATTTAGTACACCTTGGTGCCTTCTTCTCAGTCTTCTGGGAGTCTGTCTGGGTCACGAGGTGAGGCCAACAAAATTGAAAGTGCATGGATTTATTGACTCTTATTTAACAGGGGCTTCTGACGGCTAAACTCATTGGAAACTTATTAGAAATGCTCTTCCATTAAGAGATTTGAATTTTGTTTCACAAAGTCTTTGACCAACATCAGTAATGTGTGGTTAGAAAATTTGCCACTCATTCCTCCATCTAGCAAAATGTTTTCTCAAAACGTTTCATCAGCTTGCAGCTGTCCACCCTGCAGGGGCTGCTTCCTCTCAGTGCTTACAGGTTAACCGAGGTGAACGTGCATCAGCTGTTGGGGGAGGTGCATTCATAAAATCAGAAGCCACACTGTCCACCACAAAGCCCTTACTGGTGTCCTGGCCGTATCTGATATCCCTGTTTCCACATAGTCTGTGGACTCAGACACATGGTTTGACAACGTATCAAATTCACTCTGAGATAGCACGGGATTAGCAGCTGAAACCAGAGAGCTAGGGCAGAACCTTGAGAAAATTCCTACGGCGCTGGCAGGGTCCATGCGAGGATTTTTATTTCTTGTAGGAACAGATAAGAGTATGACCAGTGTTGCTAATCATCGTATGCCAAACAAAGCTACTATATTTTCTCTTAAAATATCTCTACAGCAATTGAATTAAAGCAAGGACTCAAGGATTTCTGCCCCTGAAAGGTGAATTGAAAGTGATCCACAGGCACCTGCCTTGGTGGGAATGGTGGCAGCTCATTTGAAGTATAGGAATTTAACCATAAGGACAGGAACATTCCTTGTTGAGCATTTGGACAATTGAAGAGTCATAATCTGAGGCAAAGGTTGACGATAAGGACCATTCTAGGTTGGGGAATTAGAGCAGTGGATAAAAGAGACAAAAATTCCTGCTCTTAGGCTGCTGATGTCCTTGTGGTCTCAGGCACTGTTCTCCGTACCTTACACACATTAACCCCTTTAACCCTCACACCTACGCTGACATGGGCACTTCTCATTGTCCCTCTTTTACAAATGGGGAAACTAAGGCACAGGGAAGTTAAGTGACTCATCCAAAAATCACGCAGACAGCAAGTGGCAGTTTAGAATTTCAAGCCATGGAACCTCCGTGCACCCCGAACTTTAAAGTGTGTATGTTTCCCCGCTGAGTTTAAAAGCAGATTCTAATTCAGTAGATCCGGGGAGCCTGAGATTCTGCACTCCTCACCAGTTCCCAGGTGAGATAGGCCTCTGGACCTTGATGAGCATCTTTGACCTCCTGAAAACTAAGCTTCTCGGAGATACATTTATTGTCCATTTCTGTGTTTTCTTCATTAGTATTTTCTTATCCTTGTCTAGGTTCGATTAGTTGAAGCCACAAAAAACTAGTAAGGCTGATTCGGGAGAGGGACAGGGACAGTTTAAGGATGCAGAGCTCACGGAATACAAGGAGCAAGGCTTCTTGTGGCCCAGAGCTCCATCAGTTCCTGGCCTCCCACTGGCCCTTCCTCTGTGTGGGTTCCAGCCTCTGCTCTGTTCTACCAGCCGGCTTTCCAACAGGGCTACACCCCTGTCCCATCCCAGACCACCAGCTCTCTCAGACCCAGGCCTGCAACAGCTATATGTGATTGGTTTCTTACTTTAAGTGCTTGAAGGGGGACTCCTATTGGTTGCTCTGACATTCAGTGGATTACAGGTGCTATGGGCAAAATAGGCAGGCAGGAGAAGGCGGGCATGATGGACTAGTTGTCTGATACATTTCGTATCACTGTAAGACCAAATATCCCCTAAGAACTCCTTGCTAGAAGTCCATGTTGCTTACTTTGTGAGGCACTCAGAATGAAATGGATCATTTATTTATGTACCAAGTGCCTATCCAGCTGCCAGGCAATGTGCCAAATGATTGGGATACAAAGGTAGAAGATACAAGCCACTGGTGTTAAAGACCTTAGGCTTTAACTCACGGATAGCAGACCAAAGGCCTCCTCTGAGAACAGTCAGGAGAACTGCAAACATCTATCAGCATTTCTGCTTTCTGAATTGCATATCTATATTTCATAAATACATTTCTATTGCATAACTATGTAATTATATATGTGCAAATAATTCCAGCTATCCTAATGGTTCTCTGAAGGACTAGTTACATAGATCACAGAGAAAAGCAGCAACACAAGCTCAATTTCTGGACACACTGAACTCTTTAAGAGGTTCAACCAACTGAGAAAATGACATGAAGGCTGTGTTGACCAGTTTGATGGAAGTATTTCAGATTGTGTGTGAAAACCCCACACTGTACCCCATAAGTGCATTAATGTACATAGTTACCATTCAATAAAAAAAAAAAAAAAAAAAAAAAAGAGGTTCAACCATACTTAAGCAATGCTAGTTAAGAGAGGCTACACAGAAAGTGACAACCAGAATGTTCAGGAGGCCAGTGAGTTTTTGACAATTCTCACAGTGAGATGAAAATTGTAAGGGCTGCAGTAAATACCCCAGGCTTTCCTTGGGGAACTCTGAAGGATTGAGTGAACTTTAAGACTAAGGGAAAATCAGAAATAAAATAGACGGTATAAAAACTGAAACCTAGCCTCTAAATAGTTCAAACCCTGATTGGATTAAGGTGTCTATCCCCCTACTCTAACTTTCTATCAGGAATTTCAAATTTCATCTAGAGCCTCCATGATTTTCCACATATAATGTCTGACATTTCATTAGAAAAAAAATATCAAACATACCAACAAATTAGATTCAAAGCAAAAAACAGATAATAGAAACACATTTATAGGCTATGGATATATGGAAGTTATCTGGCATGGACATTAAAACAATATGATCCATATGGTTAAAAAATTAGATGACAAGTACAAGAAATATTAAAAATTTAAACATAGTCTACAATTAAAAGATAGAACAAATGAAATTAATTACTCAGTTGGGGTTTGTGCAGTAGGTTGAATACAGATGAAAAGAAAATTAGTGACTTGAAAGACAGGTTAATAGGAAATGTCCAATGCAAGATCTAGAGAGGAAAAGGATGGAAAATTCTTTACTGAAATTGTGAAAATAATACAAAGGTTTGTGTAGGGGGAGTAAATAGAATTAAATTTCTAGGCCATCTTTGCCAAATTCCTTTCCTTTCATTGATTCAATTTCCATTTCAACTACCTTTTTCTTTTTTAATTTTTTTAAATTCAGGTCCTGGTTCTCTTGTCTAGAGCTCTTCATTGTGGTAGCCAGTGACCATATGTGACTATTTAAATTTAAATTGATTCAAATAAAATAAAATAAAAATTTAGTTCCCCAGTCACCCTGGCTACTGAGGCCAGTGGCTACTGTATTGGACACTGCAGATTTAGAGCATTTCTGTTGTCTCAGAGTTGTAAGTGGACTACAATCTCATTCCCTGATATTTTACATTTTTTGTGAGTTTAATTTTTAGATTTTTACCTATGATGATGTTACCTCTATGCATAGAACATATTCACAGTTCCAGAGCCTTTAGTGTAATTTCAAGATTTTATGCAGCATGACTCAGTTCTCTTTCTCTGCATATTGAGATCAGAGAAAGTAAATTGACAATCAACCATTAGTGGAAAGAAGAGAAAATTGTCTCAAAATAAGATGCCTGTGGCTCTGTGGGCCTGTCTTGCATGGAGAATGGTGCTCAAATCTGTGACACTGAATTATCAGATGACTCTGATCTCGTCTATTTAGGAATACTCAGTCACTAAAATGGCAAAATAAATAAATAATGGTTCAGTTCTTGGACTTCCCATTGGAGAATTCTTTATTTTAAAAGTATATGGGGTAAATGGGACTTTCATTAAACTAAGTCCAGCTTTGCCATTTACTGGCTTTTAAACATGGATAACATACTTCACCTTTTCTGAACTCCAGATTTTCCTGTGGTTGGGGGGAGATCATTGCACCTCTTCCTAACATGTGACTTACAGTAATTAAATGTAGTTTTACAAATGTGGAAATCACTTTATAAATTTAAGTGCCTTATGTACCATCCAGCATTATTTGTGGGGGGACAGGTGGGCCGGGACTGTATGCTACTGTTCTTCATTCTTTTGTTTCTTTTTGTCTTGCAGTGATTTCTCTCAAGGCTTCTGAAGATTCGTCTTTTGAGAAAAAGAAGACGACTTGGGCATTTTTTGAAGGTAAAGCTTGCATCCTCATTTTTAGACAGTAGGAGGGGAACAGAATAGGAAGAAGGGACTCTAACTTCTTAGTTTTGACATAACATCAAGTTCTTTTCTCAGACAAAAACCTCGTCAAGAGTCAGATGGTATCAACCCACAGATTTTAAAAGAGCGGAAACTAAAGCACCAATATGCGTAATTTTTGTTTGCTTGTTTAGTTTTGCTCTAGAGTTCCTGATACGACATTAGGGAAGGATCTTCAAGTGACAGAACAATGATAAGTACATCTATTGTGACTACATTTTATTTCAAGTTTCTTAAGGAGTTTGAGGATTGAAAACCTTAAGGAAGTAAGTTTCAACCCATGTTAGAATCAGTTGGGAATCTTTAAAAACACTGATGCCTTTCCACATCTCTAGAGATTCTGATTCAGTTGGAACTTGTTAGAAGCTCCTGCCACCAGGCAGAGGACTGCAGCCTTAGAACAGTGGCTCCCAAAGTGTGGTCCTAGGCCAGCAGGATCCATATCACCTTGGTACAAGTGCACACTTTGGATCCCACCCCAGCTTACAGGATCAGAAACTTGAGGGCTGATGTCCAACAATCGGGGTTTGCATAAGACCTCCAGGTGATTCTGATATACATTCAGAGTAAGGGTTCTCAACGGGGAGGGACTTTGCCCCTCCAGGGGACATTTTTGGTTGCCACAACTGTTGGGGGTGCTCCTGGCATCTAGTGGATAGGGGCCAGGTGTGATGCAAAATGTCCTGCAGTGCACAGGATGGTCCCTACAGCAAGGAATGAATTCTGGATCCAGATGCCAAGAGTGGAGAGGGTGAAAAACCCTGCCTTGGAGTAAGGAAATTTCAGAGAGATTAACATAAAATGAGTGAGGATTATGAACCATAAGCAATGAAGGAATGCACTCTGTGAGTTCTCAGGCTGACCCTTTGACTCTGGAAGGATTATGTCTTGTGAAGGCGTGGTATTGAGTGATGAAGAAGGATCTGGCCAAAGTATCTAGGGAGGGCCTCAGGCTTCACCATCACCCTGTGCTGACCCAGTGAGTGGTCTGGCAGAAGGAGGACCAGCCTCAGAGGGAGGACACTGGCATCAAGCTCACCTCTTCCAAAAACTAGTTATAAAGCAGTGGGTTGAAGCACTTTCTGTCTTAGATAAATCTAACTTTTAATTGTGAACAGAAGCTGCAAACCATAAGCTATCACCCACGTAGACTGCTAGGACTATTTACTTTTTCTACTCATATATTTAGTTTCTCAGATTGCAGTTTGCTTTAAGAATAGGGTGACCAGACGTCCCGCTTTTGGCAGGACAGTCCTGCTTTTTAACAATTTGTGCCACGTCCTGTGGCGTTTTTAAAAAGTCCCAATTTTTGGAAAGAATGCATGAACGGGCAGAGAACAGGAAGGGAATATACGGGTTTTGGCTGCCATGTGGCTATTTCACCAGGATATGAGTTTTATATTATTTTTGTTAATTTTATGTTAAACTGTAATAATAACAAATAATTGTTGAGAAGTGATTATCGAGAACTACTTATCAAAGTTTGCATTGTTGTCAGGCCCTACTCTGCCCCGTCCCCTGCCCTGTCCCCTGCCCTGCCCCCCCCATGTTGTCCCGCTTTACAAATGTTAAAATCTAGTCACCCTATTCAAGAATGATTCTTTGTATTCCATGACTTCTCTTTGGCACCTTTTTGAACTCTTTTATTCTTGGTTTAATGGTTGCCTAGCAAAATAAGCCCTCTCCCCCCCCCCCCGAATGCCTACCTGTTGGCAAAGAGACGAAACCTTACTTGTCATTGAGTGAAGGTTTATCCCTCTCTCTGATGTTTGGTAATATTGAGGCAACCCTCATGGGAGCCACCCTGTGACCAGGCACTGTGATGGGACTGAGTCATGAAGATGACCTGGGTGTCCCTAAAAGTAGATCATGGGGATGTGACAGCCAAAGCTCTATGTATCATCAGAGGCATAAGAATCTCCAGCTCCTAAGGTTCTGATTAATACATTAGGAAGGGATCAAAGATTTTACACTCAGGGACAGGGGTGAAGGTCTGAGGATCCTATTTTGAAAATACTATTTTATAAAAAATGGGACTTTATGTATTTGGAAGGACTGTGGCCTCTAGCCCCAAAACACCCTGCGGCACGATCAGCATCTCTGAAGCACCTCGTGTAATTGATGGTATTTTATAATTCATGTACAGTGGTAGAACGTCAGGGTGTCTCCCAACCTGTCTCTTTACATAAAAACCAAAGCCTGACATGCACTGTCTTCTCAGCAGAGAGAATCAGGTCGCTTCACAAAGCAGAACTGGTCTTCTCATTCTGTATAATGCTTGCCTCACAGCAGCTGTTTCCAAAGCAGTCTTTCCCTATGATTTTGGTAGCAGCAGCAGCAGCAATGTCCATGAGTTTTGCTTTTTTAACCCAGCCACAACTTTGGCAAAGTTGCAGGTACAGTTGAAACTCCCCAGCGAATGATCGCAGGCCTTTTGCCCTTTTGTTCCTGGATGGGGGAACTACATACAGTAGGGGATGTGGACCAATGTCCTGTCCTCCTGGGGCTCAGCTCGACCTGGCCGTGAGCCCATTACACAAAAGCGGCATTGATTGTCAGGCCTTTGAGAAATGCTAGAGTGAGTTACAATCCCTCAGGGCTATCTCATTCAGGTATTTCGCCCCAAGCAAGATGGTACATATGATGGGCTAAATTAAAAAACAGCAGCAGTACGTGGAGTTTTATTGCCAGAAAACTGCCATCTCCTAGGCTTTTGCATTTGCCCTGGAAGAGTACAGAGGGCACGGGGTGGGGGGTGGTGGTTGTAGATTCCCTTGATTATGTTGAGGAATGCTGGGGGTCACTCTGTCTCAAAGCAGTGCTGAATATCCCTGCCGGAATCTGGGTTGCCAGGCAACAGGTGCTGTCTACCCTGGCTCAGTTGTGCTGTCTGTGAGGGCGGGAGCTGGCCCAGGACATTGAGCACCCCTGTCCTGGCCTCCCTGCTGCACGGGCAGCCGCTCCAGCCTGCCAGCTCCACCATCTGCCTCAGGGAGGCCTAGGCATTATTGGTATGGCTGCTTGCAGTTGAGCGCAAAAATGGCATCCTTTGGAAAGACTTCAAATGAATCCAAGCAGTATAATACGATTTCTAGAATTATTGTGAGTGTGTAGAAATATATGGTATTTTAAAAACTAACTCCAGATTCAGTTAAGTGCCGATGTTTTCTTAAATTTGGGTCCGAAGATTTGGCTTCAGCCTTCTGGCAAGCATTCAGGCTTCAGCCTTCTGGCGAGTGTTGTTTGGCCTGGTGTGAGTTTTAAAACCTTAGAGCCAACATTTACAGTTAGAGAGATTTTTACATATAATGTTAAAGGACAAGTGGGGCTGGCAGTCCCCTGGAGTTGAGGCACCAGCTGACCTGGGGAAAGGTGACCCAGGCTTCAGTGGCAAGGAGTTTAACCTTTGTTTGCAGAGAACTCCCAGGGGGGTGGTTTCTGTGCTTTGAGTAGACACAGCAGGGTGGCTGTCCCCATGCAGCCAAAGGAATGCTTGGAACAGAAGGAAAAATCCCAGAACTCTGGGGGTAAAGTTGCAGCCCCACCAGGGAAACTTGAATATTCTGTCTAGGCTTTTCTCCTCCTGCAAGGTGATGCTTTAAAGTTTCAAGAACACAACAGAGAGTGGCCATGACTGTTCCTAGGGGGATGGAGACTCCCATGTAGGTGGGAGGAGCCTGCTGGCCAGTGTCAGCCTGGAGGCCTGTGTGCTTGGCAGGGTTGCTGAGCCTTCCAGGCTGGCCAGATGTTTTGTGATTCTGTAGCCACAGCTGTCTGTGCAGAGTACCCTGTGTGCCATGCCAAGGAGGCTGCAATCTGAAATCATAACTCAGGCCTCCTGAGGCCCCTCATCTCCCGCCAGGGCGGTGGGTCCTAGATGCCTATAGCATGCTGCCAGGGATGCTTGGGGAGAATTGCCCAGCTCAGTACTCACTTGGAAATCAAGGCAGTTCAGGTGGTGAGCTGAGCTCCTGGATGAGACTGCTCTGCTCCAGTGGCACAGAAACTTTGTAAGATGATTTTCCTCTCCCTTCCAGGAATGAGACTGAAGCCAAATTTTCCTGCCTTTGGTCTAGAGGGCCCCATCTGCAAACCCTTTGAAGCAGATGTTGTATGCTCTTGCTCTGTCTGCCACGTCCTGTTTGGCAACAAGGCCATGCTGTTTACCTTCCTCTCATGCTGATAAAGTGCTCTGTAATCTTGTTCTGGGGTAGTTTGCTCACCGGTGCACGGTGCACGCGTCTGGGGCTGGCCTTATGTTGGCTGTTTTCTGGCCAGTCCTGCATCCTAATTTCCTGTCCTGAGTCCTGGTCTGTGACTTCTGCTCTGGCCCCCAGTTGGTTATGAAGTGTCTTGTCCAGAATCCAAGATTCCCATTGCTGAGTTTCACATAGTTTAGGTGGAGGCCTGAGCCCCTGTCCTAACTCTGACCACTCATGGAGCTCTCTACCTTGTTAATGGAGTATACAAAGCTCACGTGTTAGAGACACAGGTATCCACAGAGAAAGCCGCTTTAGTTTTAGATACGAGAGTTTTCTCTATTCCCCCCTTAGCTGCTCACACCCCATCTGCTCCCTGAGCTCTCTAACCTGGCTCTGCCCCACCAGCCCACTGACATGGTTTTCCTTCAGGACTGTCCCAGGAGCAGGTGTTTCCTAGCAGTGGATACTACTAAGGAAGGGATCCTTACAATGCTTTACTCTTGGCTTCTGAAATTTTTGCTGCAGACCTCCTCTGCTTCCGTGAATAGTTCTGAATTCCTTTTCAGAAGACTCTGCCCCCCCTCCTACCTTCCTGCTCTCCTTCCTGAAATACTAGTGCAGGTGATCACCTGCAACCTTGTCCTACAGCTCTTTCTACTTATTTCAATGTTAGCCCAGCTTTATAAGTCACCAGAAGCAGACACCTACTCAGACTAGCTTAGGAAGAGATGT